TTCGCAGTAGATGGTAGAATTAAGCGTCTGGCCATATGCGAGCAGCACATAGTGGATGATTCCCTTCCAATCCCACCAAACACACAGCAAAACCTTCCTGGCCGTCAATCCCGGCTTGGCCACTGTTTGGGACGATTCACCGGCCTTCGACCACGACCGTTTTCGCTTGATATTGTCATATGTGATCCATTTTTCGTCGCCAGTCACCATCCGCTTCAAAAATGGGTCGAGTTCGTTCCGTTTCAGCAGCATATCGCAGGCGTTGATCAGGTCCAGAAGGTTTTTTTTGCGTCAAATTATGCGGCACCCAAACATCAAACTTTTTTTGTATCCAGCCTTCTGCAGATGGATCAAAATGGTTTGGTGACTAACTCCCATCCCCTGGGCGATGTCACGAGATGCCATATGCCGGTCTAACTCGATGTATTCCATGATTTGATCGGTTTTTGTCGTCACAGGTCTTCCGCCGGATGGCTTATCCATGGTGTCGTTTTCACCGACTCTGAATCGTCGGAACTATTCCCCCGCGGCTCGAAGTGATAGAGTACCATCCCCCAAAACACGGAAAAAGTTAAAATCAGGGTTTTCTAGAGGACTGGTTTGAAGTTTAGACTTTTAACTATCCAATCTAGATTCCAACGCACACTATATACTGCAGGGGCTGCGAAAAACTTCCTTTAGATAACCGCAATGATAATATCTACCTAAGTTACTCAGCCCTAGCAATTCTGATGATCGTCTTGACAGTTAATGACATGAACCAAAGGATCAAAAGTTTCTCAATTATTGTTTGAGCATCATTGGCAAGCTTCCACGAGCGTTGACCTCGCTGGAGTTTTAAATAAATAATGATGAAATTCAAATATAAACTTAAAATTCCAATAGTAATGTTTCCACATGGTTATGTTATTGTATTTGTTTGTATATTTATCAAATGCAACTTTTCCCCTCAATGCAACGAGTTACACACATACAACCATCAATTAGTCAGCAGCGAAAATGTGGGTCAGTATAAAAGAACCAGTCGCGCCAACTCTGCATCTACTGAATCTTCTGCTAGCGAAAGAAAGCAGCGCGAATGCACGACTGGTCACAACATTAAAAGCGACGACGACAACGACGACGACGACGATGAGGATCGAAAGACCACAGTGTCGCCAACATTAGCCGCCAGCATCACTTCAATTCACTGTCTCTTTCAGCGCCGCGCGATTTGCGGTCGTTTGGGTACGTTTTTATTTATGAGACCACTTGTTTATTACAGACGCCCTTGCGCTGCGCCAAGCTATAGAATGTCTTTCCTTGTTCGTTTACTTTTTTACACGCCCTGGAGCGGCACAAAAACTCGTTTATACCCAATCAAATTAATAGCGCCTCAAGGAATTGACTAAAAATATATTTTATGTCAAAAGTGGAAGCATTAGAAGAAGAAGCAGAAGAAGAAAAATTAATAGTCATCTAGTAGTCAATTAGGCGATTAGGAAATTCTCTAAAAGCTTCTTTCTATTTGAGGTGCCAGCGAGATGACAATTTTTTTTTTAATTTTTTCAAAGCATTTCTTTTGTTGGCAGAGGCTGTCTGTCGTGCGCCCTTCCTTGTCGCGTGGGCGTTGTCAGAAGAATTTGTTTCGTTTGCAATTTTTAGCTTTGCGCCGCATGTCTAAGTGAAATGGTGCACGCTGTTCTTGCTGATGGATTTATGTGTTAATATTGATGTGATTCTGTAGCGTTAATTCTTCTGTCACGATAAATTTGTAATTTGAAGATTACGTACGAGCATGCTGGAAAGTTGTTTATGTTTACATGTTTTCCTCTTTATTTTATTTACTCGTGCTTTCGTTTGAGTGTGAGGCGAATGATTGCTTTATAAATTTACGCTTAAATTAGTAAAATATGTTTTAATTGGTGGAATTAATATTTTAATCTGCCAGAAGGTTATTGGAGAATTTGTGGTAATATTTTCAGTATACAAACACTGGAGAACAAAAATAAGTGAACGTAAAAAAATAAAAATTAAGATGAGAAAATTCTTAGATTTTTATAATATTTTACAGGCCGATTAATTGGTTTTTCAATTAAGTACAAGTTATATTTTTATAAAAAATTAGCAGGCCTAGTAGAAGTTATTTTTGCAATACATGACTTTAGTGAAGAGTGTTTGGATTACATTAGATGGCATTAGAAATTTGATATTTTATAATGAAAAAGTAAATCACTTGATCACTTAAATCTTTGAACGCATGTCAAAAATGGACACCAGCCAAGAGATCCTACGTTTTATTCTACTACATTTCTTCGCTCGATAAAGTCGAAAACGCGTGCCAGGCTGCTGCAAATGTGATTAGTCTTTGGTTGGTCTTGATACTGTAACAGTCAATCATGTACAATCTTAGTTTAGTAGATTTCGTTCCGGTTATTTTGATGTAAAAGATGCTCCACGCTGTGGAAGTGCCATTGTCGAAAATGTCGATAAAATAATGGAAAATGGGAAAACCGTTTCTGGTGACCAGGAGCTATACTTTGCACTAAGAGAAGTTTGAAAACACTTGCAAATGGCTGGATACACAGAGAAGCTCGATCTACGAGTGCCAAACGAGTTAACGAGGAAAGACCTCACGTTCCGACTTCCCATTTGTGAATTACCGCTAGATCGTAACAAAGTCGGCCCATTTCTGAAGCGTACAGTGACTGGTGAAGAAAAGTGGATCACTTACAGCAATGTCAAACGAAAACGGTCACCACTAGAGTTTCAATTCAGTTAGAGGTTTGTGGGATGGTATGCATATCAAACTGCTAAGCCCACGTCCCTTATGCATTTACAATGGGGGGTATGCATGTCTAAGGCAATCTTTATCCGATTGAATTCTTTCGGAACTAGTCGAGCAACACATTTTTTCACAAATATTCGTTTGAAATTCTACGAATTGATACGTGAGTCATAGAAAGTTAAAACATACCAAAGTAAAATTTAATTCGTTTTGATGATCACAATACCAGCGTTGCTCAATAGTATCGTATCCAGTAATTGCCTTAACGATACCATTTTCAATTGTTTAAATCGAAACGACTGAATCTTTTTGATTAACGTGAAATCAAGCGTTACGACGATGCAACCCTGCTTTATACTCTTGAAATAAACTGACAACAGTGAGCGCTTAACCGCCCTGCCAACTTGCCGATAAGCAGATTTTTTCCTTTTATCGCATTTTTTTGTATTTGTGACAAAATACTTTCCCGCGTTGTAATCATTTAATGTTACAATCAAATTACTAAAAGAAATGTAATAATTTATTGCTATCTAATATTCCGGAAAGGAGTTGCCAGCTTCAAAAAAACATAATAAAAAAAAGAAAAAATTAACAAATGAAAAACAAAAAAATATTTTGTTTCATACTTATCTTTTCCTATATGCATTTTTATAACAGCAATATATGTATGTATGTGATATTTTTAAAGTCTTACCGCTATTGGTAGTTGTAGCTACAATTCTGCGAGAACTAATTACACCAATTCTTTGCACCTACACACAGATACATATTTAAATATATACTACTCTGTAATCATTACGCGTATGTATATTACCTACTACAGCCACTGATAACAACAGAAAACTTGAGTATTTTGCTAATGAGAGCGACAGGTTGATCGTGACACAGTGCCACATTTGCATTAATTAATTATTTTTTCTCGCTTGTATTTATTGTAAATTTTTCGTTATTAAAAATAAAATATTTATTTAACATGACAAAGCTTTATGTAAACCATCTGGTGTATAAATAGTTGTTGAAAAAGAAATTTCATTTAAAAATATGGATATCAAGTTTGCACGTTGTAAGGTAGGCAAAATACAATTTTCGTAATTATAGTTTCGAAAAGTCAAAACCGAAAATCGTTCAATGCATTTTGTTAGTGTAATCGAAAGGTCTAATGTCAAAACCTATTGTGTAATTTGTTAAAATGGAAGGAAGAACAAGCAATCATATGACGTGACAACTTCTCCTTCTATAAAATTCATTAAAAAAACATTTAAATAAAAAAAATTTAAATGAAAAAAATAATAATAAAAAAGTGTAAAAAAAAATTTAAAAAAATAAAATGAATGAAAAACAATTTAATAATTTCTATTGAGAACATGAGTCCTTAAAGGGTTAAGGTAGACCCAAAATCTAGAATGTTGGCAACGCGTCGCCCGTTGGCTCTGTGATTTTGAATAACTTTAATTTGGCGTGAAACACCAGCCATCAACAGCATTTTACATATGTACATATATATACTAATCTTTAAAAGCCAATTTATATTAATTTATTACAAAAAAATTGTTATTACATATAAAAATGATAAAAAAACAACATAACTTCATCAAGAATGTACCCTTACCGAAATTGAAAATTAAACTGCACTAGAATTTAATTCATAAATCAAAAAATATTTAATTTCATTATTTTTTATGGAAATAAACAAATTATGTTTAAATTATTTTTAAATTAATTTTTATTTCATTCTAAATTTGTTTTAATTGTTTTTTTCATTGTTTTAATTTTTGTTTTTAATATAAAAAAAAATTAATTAAAAAAAATATTTAAAAAAGAAATAAAAAATTAAATAAAAATGTATATATATAAAAAAAAAAATATAAAAAAATAATATATATAAATAATATATAATATAAAAAATATGAAAAATGAAATGAATGAAATGAAAATGAAAGTTATTTTTTTTATTTATTGTCAGAAATGCACTTGGGGGGCTTGACATTCCCTGCCGAGGATATTCTTTGGGCCAGAAGTTGATCCCTGGCCTTCCTAATGGTAACCATTCGGCTAACCATTCGGCTTACTGCTAGTCAATTGATGTGACCACAATGGTTATATGTTCAACACCTCCGACTATAGCACAGTTTTTCTTCACTCTCTAAACACTGTGCAACATACCGTTCATTAGGCCGTCCGATAGCGGTGTACACATTCGTGTTGGCTAGATAAAGCTACCGTACTCAACGTGCTAATAGAGTACACGAAATTATTAAGTCATTCGCGTACAGTAACTTGAGATGGGCAGCGCATTGCAACTTAACGCTCGAAAATACTAAATTACAGCAAGAAAATACGTACTTGCAAAAATTTTTCTCTGCACTGGCCGACGTGGATTTTTTGTAAATGGAAATCAATTAAAAATGTAAAAGTGTTTAATGAAGCAATTTTCGTAGAGTGGCTTAGAGAAAATACCATTTTTAGTGGAAAAATTTCACTGTTGCGCATTATTGGTGTAAAAACTGTGTTGAGGAAAATAAAAAAAAATTAATTGAGCAAAAGTGAAAAAAATAATACTGAAAAGACTATAAGCTATACTGAGCGTTTTTTGCAATAAATTTTTTATAAATGATAAAATTTTTTAAAAACTCAAAAATGTATACATTAGAACTAATGGAGCACATTGGTGATTACTTAAGCAACATTATGCACTTGCAAGTTACAGAAATGGCGAAAGGCCAAGACCAAGGTGAGTGGTTTAAGAAAAAAAACTCCAGCTAAAGTTCGGCGCAACATAAATAAATAAAATTAATATTTAAAAATTAGTAAGCACTTACGGCCTATGACGCAGTTATTGAATACCGAAAAATAATTAAGAATAAAGACAAACAAAGTCGCCCTCAGCTGAATAAGTGTTATCAGTACTTATCAAGAGTACTTTTCTTTCGAAATGTCATACATTTTGTTATATATTTCTGCAAATTCTGTTTAATAAAGCTGTAAAATATTCACTGCAATGGTCAGCACACGCCCATATGAACATACTACATGCATTGCAAATCGTAGAAAGCTTTATTTGTAAAATAAGCACAGTTTTGACTTTTGCAAAGCAACTTCAAAATGTGTAAAAACAAAAAAAAATAAAAATACTTACGTACTTTACCAGCATATATGTATGTAACAAAAGTATAAATAAACACTACAATTTATCGGCGTTACTTATATGTATTTATTAACACACATATGTCATTAAAACACAAACCAACGATTGTTGGTTCGCCTCAATTGATTTTGTAGAGGCGGATTTTGAACACAACCTCTTCCAACCCGCTGTTTAAACCTTTAACACATACGCTTTGCTGTTTACTTTTCAACATACAATGCTAAATACTTACATATATACGAGTAAATAAATGTATTTGTACAAGTATTTCTCCACATTTTCTCTTCAGCGATAAGCTTTATATGCACTGTGAACACGTTTCGTTTTAATTGTACCTAATTGAACTAGTTGAATACTACTTCTATGCATAGTAGGGAACTGGTGTCATGATTCTATTTACAAGGAGGCACAAACCGCTGGAAAACATCAAAATATCTTATCCCTCTAACATAACGAAAGCCGTATTAACAGTCCACTGTTTAATGAACGGACTACCAAGGTTAAGTTATATGAATATATGTTCTATTGAACACTACCTCTGTCACAGTCCAGCCTTGATATCTGCGTGACACAAATTCCCCAGAGAAACATTTCTTCGACTGTCTCGCTAAATTAACCTCAGCGAAAATTGGAAATCTCGTTGCTTTTATAAGGTGCTCATTTGGGAAGGTGAATACAGGTGTCTGACAGTGGTAACATAATGGACCCATTGGGCTGAGTGCGTTGGCCAATGACTAGCAGCCGCGTCAACTCAACTCAACTCATCATTTTATGTAAAATATTAAGATTTTGTTTAATTTAATCCAACTACGTATTTTTTGTGTGTAGGCCACTTCTTCGCTGCTCAAGGTTTTTGCCGAAAATGTCAATATAAAGTAAGCCAGGTCTAGGTTTATTCACACTTAAAGCTTGTAAACCCCAGCCGCAGAATCATAATATTATGTAGCGAACATACCTTCGTACGATCTTTGATTATATTGAAATCATATTAATTTTTGTCAATCTGTTGGTGTTCTCTTTCCCGTAGAGGAAGTATTATTTATATTTCGAGCTAAGCTCCCTGGTCCATTTCCGCGAAAAAGGGTAATCGTTAAAGGAATATTATTCAAAAATTTAACCAAAACATACCATGAATATGTATATTCTTTTCAAATATTCACTTCCCGTAAAAAGAATTTCAAGTGAAAAAAATCAAAAATAAAAATTATTTAAATAGGTCCGTCCATATCCCGGAGAAAAGTAGTCTTTTTTTATGCAAAAGTCAACTTTTAATCGATAAGTACGTTTTTTTCGAATAGGCAGGTCTATGATCAATGTGCCGAGTAGAAGAGTAGTCTTCCTGTTAGTCTAAGTACTTATTGTAATTTTAAGTTGATTGAACCATAAATATGATTGTTTTTCAAATAAGTCAGTCCTTGGTCCACTTTCTTTTTTTCGTACAAACATTTTTAAGAACCATGTATGTGTGAAGCTTCTCCTCCAGTTTTTTTTGTGTGCGTCTTGATGCTTTTCGAACAAGTGGAGCGCTTGAAATATCCTGCAGAGGAGTTCCTAAAAATGAGAAAAAATAAATAAATTTTTTTTTCAATTAATATTTCTAAAGTTTTGTGTGTTGGTTGGACCCCCTTCCTTCTAAGTGGCAGTACACAATGCTTACCATTCGGCTTTCTCGGCCGCCATTTTTATATTATATTTACATATACAGTTATATACAAATTATTTATCGGCTTTGGATGAAATATTTTTGTGGTAATAATTTCATTTGGTTTTCAACTAATTTTATTATGTTAATATTATCTTTATTACTTCTTACATTACTTATCGCTGATGCACATAAGATACTTAACCTGATAATAAAAAGCATTCTTTGTTTTGAAATCATAAGAAGTGCAAATGAGTTCATACTGAATCGTAGCTGCGATCAATATATTCCTTAAAAGATTAAAGAAAATATTCATTCATTAATTTTGACCACGAAAAAATAAGAATAATAGTTGTTCGATTAAACCTGACTTTATATGAGCTACGGGAAATGTTGTTAACTAGGCAATTCAGTAATTAATATATTTATTATAATTAATTAATTTTTAAAATAAATATAAATATTTTTTATATTTAATAAGGACAATATATTTTTCAAGTTTTGCCACAAAACTTCACATAAATATTCAAATAATAATTTTCTTTTATTTCTTACTAACGTATGATTAATAACTTATGAAGTAAATTGATTCTAGGAATTGATTATTATTTATTTTTTTTCATTAAAGCGCCGGTCGAGATAAGAGGGTTAAAATACCGATTAGAAAATATTTATAAGAATAGTTAATCAACAAAATTGCTTTTCCGTGTAACACGAGAAATAATCCATCGAAAAATAGAAAAAGTGGTTAAAAGTGTAAGTGGATTTTTTTTTGTTTTTTGTTTTAAACAAAGATAAGATAACTGATATACAGATTTTACTTTTATATTTTGCTTACGGAAATCACAAAAGAATCCAATCCAACCACCCGTAAAATACATTTGATTGAATGGCTTACGAGTAATAACCGAAATTGTTGGGCACTGAGCTCAGTTTTACATAGAACTGAAGAAGTCGTGCAACGAATGTTCAATTTCCCTCGAATTCCACTTTTGCTTCAATTCCTATTGAAAAAAATTTCAAGTTTTTGTAGCCTACTATTTAGCTAAGGTTTTCGTCACCACTAAACTGGAATTTTTAAATACACTAATTAACCCCAACTTGTTTAAGACTAAAATCCGCTTTCACTATCATGTCCTCTCTGAATCAGCCTGCGGTCTTGATAAAGTTATTTAGTTCGAAAAGTTTTATATGTGCAACTTGTGATATGTCGTGATAGTTGCGAACATTTTCTATACGAAGTTTTACATTAGCATTGCAGATGTTTCACAGCCTCAGCTTCCTCTACATCTAGACAGCTTCTAAGTAATCGTTGTATGGAAACCACAATCTGCAAGCGTCTTATTGTGCTCATAGGGCCTTGATAGCACCCCTATTAAAGGTCTGATGTGATTCCTTTAGGTCGGTTTGTTTTAACAGCCTTCTCTTGCGGCCATTTCACCAGCCAAACTATTCGCTATAGACAGGAAAGGTAATCACTTGTTTCGAGGTCCTGACTATAAAATTTATACATAAGAATTTCCCAGCCAAGCTCTCGGAGCTTCTAGCGAACCAATATCGATGTGTGTGGTCTGGCGATGACCTGATGAAACACAATATCTCTCCTGTTTGGCAGAAAGAGGACGCTTTTGAGCGTTTACTTCCTTCACAGATCTGAATACAGAGATTGATCATAGAGATGCTGCTTATAGTAGAATGCTCCTTGCCAATCCCACCACACACACAACAAAACCCATACATCGAGCTTCCTTGTTTATCCAGCCTATTTCAAGTGATTCCAAACTGTTTTTGAACAAGTTTTAGCTCCTGGCAATAGATCTATTCCCCATTGGCATTTTGAGGCTGTACTATGCTACTTGCGCTGCTGATTGAATGGATGGGAAAAAACCACGGGCTTACTAAGAAGATTCCGTTTACCAGATTACTTCATATCATTTACTGACTTCACTACAGATCTCAAGGTAATTATCTCGGATAGGAACCCTTGGGACAGGATAATACCAACAAGCACCGACTCGATTAATTTTTATACAATACATATGAGTCAAAACTATATAACAGGGTCGGTGGGGGAGTTTACTCTATGGATTCTGGTATCTGCAAATCTTTTCGTCTACTGGATCACTGTAGTTTTATTTTTAGAAGGAATAGGGGAGTATACATGAGGATGTTAATCGTCTCAGTTCAATGGTGCTCACAGAAAATCGTATCCATATTTTTCTGGAATACCGGGCTGGATTGAGAGCATTAATAGAGTTAATTATTAAAGATGCTAACTCAGGATGGGAAAGTCTCACTGCGTGTAAAGTGACAAGGACAATATGGTCAGAATAGAACAGAAGTAGGACACGTGACCTTATCGAGCCAAAAAGAAAGGAAATTTCTACAGTTATAGGTCTTCTTACAGGGAATATTCCATTGGCCAGGTAGGCAGAGAGGTTGTGTGTACCATGTATCGACATCTGCAGAATTTTGCAGACAAAAAGAAGAGCCTGGAACCTAATGGCACTTTCTCTGTGAATACCCCGCACTTTGGCGGAGCAGGTTGAGATATCTAGAGGCGGCAACATTTGAACATTTTTGCGAGATATCGCGGGTTAAGATGCAGTCGCCGCAACAGTTTTGTAAACTCCTCACGTTGGTTTGATTAGCGCGTGGAGGCATTAGGAATCTCAAGAGTATCACAATTGGCTTGGCCCAGTCGGTACTTCGAGGAACCATGGATCGGTTTTGCACCCGTTGACCCTAGTAGATAGAACACATCCCACTTAATGGAAGATTTTGACGAAGGTTCTTGCTTTGCACGCTTACAAAATCCAACTCGTTCCACTCACTTTTGGTTTATTTGGCCAAATGGCGGATTCGTAAAAAAAAAACAATAATCTGAATTATATAAATTAATCTGCAAAATAGAGTCCACCAAAGTGCTATTTAAACACAAAGC